TTTTTTTCTTCCTTTTTTTTTTTTTTTTTTTTTGATCTGGCCAAATAAAACAAGCCCAAGGGCCCATTTTGACCCATTTTGCCACTTCTGATCTGGGTCTTCCAAACTCCACATGTTTTCTTTTTCTCACAAAGCATCTCCTCATTCAGGGGTCGGCAGAGGTGTTCTTTCTGCTCGGTTCGGCCCCATTTTGAGCCATGGCTTTAGGACTCGGTCACAGAGCTTGCTTAGAGGAAGGATGGGGCATCACAGGGATGTTTACCGCCTCCCTGGCTCCAGTCTCTTCCACCCCTTCCCTCCACAACACTTTAATACATTTTTATTTTATTTTAATTTTTTTGTAGTTGCAGAATGGCTTTATTTTATTTATTTTATTTTTTTTATGCGGTGCTGAGACTCGAACCCAGTGCCTCACACATGCTAGGCAAGCGCACTACCACTGAGCCACAGCCCCAGCCCTTGTTCTTGTGCTTCTTGCAGCACTTGAACCACAGGATATTATGGTGAGCTGTTGGGAGAAGTGTTTCCCCTTGGAGGCCGTGACATTGTAAAAGGCGGGGGCCTCGTCCTGTTAATCCTTAGGCTCTAATTGTCCCTACCAGCTCCATGTGCGTAGTAGGCCCTCCGTAAATATTGCACAGAATGCATCTTGCTGCTGGCAAGTTGTCAATTTGCCGATGCAAACCGTGGTGACCAGGGTGTAGCTCAGAATGCAAAACGCTTTCAAAACAGTTCTGCGGCCATTTCAGCCCTGCGCACGGGCTCAGTGAGGACCTGCTGGATGAATGAAGGCGTGAGTGACTCGGTGACAGAGAAGAGGACTTGTCACCGATGGTCTTGTATGCACTGTGCCCTTTTGAATGTGGCTTTGATGGAATCCAGTCCAGGGTGGTGTGTCAAGCAGGAGGAATGTGTGGGCAGATTCTCCATCTTCAGATGAGCAAGAATAGAAGACTCTGGAAGCAGATCAATCATCAGGAGGCAGGAAGTGTTCCTCCTCCTGCTTTACCTGCAAGTCAAAAAGGGTCACAACCTGGCTCTGGCGAGGACATCACAGACGCATATGGCTCCTAGAGCTGTTCTGCAACACTGTCCCCAAGAACCTCCAGGCACAGATCTGTGTCTCAGGAAAGGGGAAGTAACAACTTGCAATATTTTTTTTTTTTCTGGCTGGGCACAGCGGTGGTGCTCACCTGTAATCCCAGCAGCTCAGGAGGCTGAGGCAGGAGGATTGCAGGTTGGAGGCCAACCTCAGCAACTTAGCGAGGCCCTAAGCAACTCAGTGAGACCCTGTTTCAAAATAAAAAAATAAATATTAAAAAGGGCTGGGGGGTGTGTGGCTCAGTGGTTAAGCACTCTGGGTTCAATCCCTGGTACCAAAAAAAAAAAAAAAAAAAAGTTTCTTCTTCCTCAGAGATAAGCAGAGACAAGGAATGTTCTAGAAAGACATTGCCTTTACCTGAACTTGCACACACCTCTGCTTTTCTGCCTGTGGATTTTCATAAGAAAGGGAAGTGACACATTAACTGGTATCAGCAATTAAAATTCCCAAATAGCTCTGCCCTGGCCCTTCCTGAGATGCCCCTGGATGGAATTGAGGGCACTGTGGTCATGACAACTCATGGATGACCTCGTCTCCCAGAAGGGTTCCACTTTTGCCTTTCCGCCATCTTCCCATGGACCCTTTTCTTTTTAACCAAATTATTTATAACAGAATCTTCCTTCGTTCTGTTAACCAAACACACATGTGCACCACTCCTGGCTTGTGGCTGGCCCAGAGGGATGAATTGGTAGAAAGCCGCCCAAAGAGATGAGGTATTTTTTTCTTCCCTTGTGTTCCCTATGGGGGACTCATTAAAGAATGATTCCCTTTGGGGTTTTGAAAATGCTGAGAGACCTGAGTAGGAAGCCCTCGGTAAGTGTTAGCTGCTGTTATTATTATCATAATTGCTGATGGCCTTCTGGGAATCGAGGCATGTTGGGTTGAAAACCACCAGCCCATGCATCAATGGTAACAATCACAGGGACATAAATGGCTGAGATTTCCTAGGACCTAGCTGGGTGACAGGCATTACTTAACACGCGTCCCATGCATGAAAGTCACTTAGTCATTGCATCCCTGGGAGGGAGACATGGTTATTATAATTCTCCCATTTCACAGAAGAGGATCAGCAAGGCAGGGTAACTCATCCAGCATTCCTAGGTGCTGGAGAGAGTCAGGCTCAGTCCCTGGCTCAGCACCGAGGTGATCCTGCTGCAGGACAAGGGGAAGAGCCTTCTCAATCCTGAATCATCACAGAAGCATTGATTGTGTTCGTTCAGGGTTTCAATTCCTCTATCTTCATTAATGCTGCATTTTCTTAAAGGGAGAAGCCATGCATGGGTGGGTGGGTCTTTCTAGTGGGTAATAGGCATTTGGCTGAATCCAAATACATGTCCCCCTATTCTGGAAATCACACCAGGTATGTCCCCCTCACCCGGAGCTCTTCAGAACAGTCCCCGTCTCTGATCCCTCAGGGCTTGGCACGAGGGGGTGTTGAGAAGAACTCATGACTGGGACTTGCCAGAGGGGCCAGGCAGAGATTCAAGATGGTACCAGGAATCTGAAATCCAGTGTCAGCAAGGATGTGTGGCCAGGGGCGCTGCCTTAGTCCACTTTATGTTGCTGTCACAAAATACCCGAGACTGGGTCATTTATGATGAACAGAAATGCGTTGGCTCCTGACTCTGGAGGGTGGGAAGTCCAAGATGGAGGAACCAGCGCCTGATGGGGACCTTCGTACTGTTTCATCTTGTGGCAGGACAGCGAGAGCAAGAGAAAGTTAAAATTGCTTTTTGTAACAAACCCACTCTCATAAACAAGAATGACAATAATAAAATCCATTTAACCTACCCCATGACCTAATCCCCTCTTGAATGTCCCACTTCTCGGCACTTGGCATGGGGATTAGCTTTCTAGTGTATGAATTTTAGGGGACACTTTAGACCCATGTTTTGTGAAATCCAAAAGCATAAGGAAATCTGGAACTGCACACCAGAATGCTTTCAAGACTCTCTCCCTCCATTTTGATCTCTGTTTTCTTCCTCCTCAGCCGACCAACTCTCTCTCCTACTCTGATAGGCAAAAGATGGCTGCCTCAGAGTTCCAGAGCCACTCTGAGCCTGCCCCTTCCTTAATCACATGCCAAAATCCCAGGGAAAGGATTTGATTGGTTAGCCTAGGTCAGGTGATCAGTCCCAGGCTGAGGTGATTGGATCCGTTGGAACAAACATGGCCGCTGGAATCCACAAGATGAGATGGTGGGAACAATTAAAGGCATTGTGGTCATGACAATTCATGGATGACCTCGTCTCCCAGAAGGGTTCCACTTTTGCCTTTCCGCCATTTCCTGAGGCTACTGTCGCCTGCATATCCCAAGGCTCCTTGGTGGACTTCAGGATCAGCTGCCTCCTACTCCCTCTATTCTGGAGCATGGGAGGAGGGCCCCTGGCCAGGCCCAGGACTCTCTCTGATGTGGCCATGCCCATGCTAGGATCTAGACGGGTGTCCAAGACAAGCCTGTGGGCCGTGGAGGATCTCAGACTGAGCGGGCGATCCCTGAGGACAAGAAGCAGGGGTGGCAGCACAGTATGGATTGGCCGAAGGTGCTCTGGGTCTCTGTGAACCCTAGGAGGAGACGATGGTGTTTGGTAATGGGTACTGCATGTGAGGGGCTGGAGGGTGAGTGCACAGAAAACTGGGGGTCCCCTTTGGGGCAGAGCCAAGGGGAGGAGGTCATCTGGGTCAGGACACAAGGCCCAGGGCCCGCAGCCACACATTGCTTTGGCTCAGCTACATCTGAGAATCCACAGGGCAGTGCTTCCTCCACGTGCTGCAATCGGTTCCGAGGGTTCCATAAGTTTATTTTGCCATTTTATTGATTAAACTAGATGGTTGCCGGGTGTGGTGGTGGCGGCGCAGGCCTGTAATCCCAGCAGCTTGGGAGGCTGAGGCAGGAGGATCTCAAGTTCAAAGCCAGCCTCGGCAAAAGTGAGCCACTAAGCAACTCAGTGAGACCCTGTCTCTAAGTAAAATACAAAACAGGGCTGGGGAGGTGGCTCACTGGGCAAGTGCCCCTGAGTTCAATCCCTGGTATTAAAACCCAACAATGACAATAACAAAACCCACTTCTTTGGAACGTTCTAGAAAAGCTCAAAGAAGAAAACCAAGTATCACTCAAAATTGAGTCACTGTTGACATCTTTGGGTATATCCTGCCCGTGTGGTTATTTTTGTTTGTTTCTGTTTGTCTTAATGAACAGATCTGGTGCAAGGACAAAAACAGGATCATTAAGAAAACAAGTTTTCAAAATCTGCTTATCTCATTCCGCAACACTCTTCCCCATGTTCTTACATGCTCTTGTATAACATTTCTGCAAATTCTGGATGGAGGATAGAGAAAAATATCAGCTAGATTAAACTTTAAGCTGGGCACTATGGCACATGCCTGTAATCCCAGCGGCTGGGGAGGCTGAGGCAGGAGGATTACAGGTTCGAGGCCAGCCTCAGCAATGTAGTGAGCAATCTAGCGAGACCCTGTCTCAAAATAAAGAATAAACAGGGCTGGGGATGTGGCTCAGTGGTTGAGTGCCCCTGGGTTCAATTTTTAATCTATTAAAAAAAGAAAGAAAAATATCAGCTGCATTCATTGACTCCTAGTGGGGCCTGAGGACCTGCAGCCTCTTTGTTGGTTTCTCTTTTCTTTCTGATAAAATTATGGAACATCTTCCTCACACGCCCTCGCGCCCACCTCCACGGCTGTCCTATGTCCTGCATGTTCCCAGCACGCTGTGGGCCAGTTCCATGCTGCAGTCCCCTGGCTGGGGACGCTCCGCAGACACATGCACAGCCCAGATCTCCTGGCAGCATCCTGTCCCTCGGCTACCCTCTGCCTGAAGCTACCCTCAGTCCTGCCTGTGCCTTTACCCTCTCTCCTCTCCCCCTTTTTATTTGCTTTGCAGGTTTTCTCCAGCAGAGGGAGCCATTTTGGATCTGACCTACCATAAAAAACCACCAGGTAAAGTCCACCCACCCAGCCAGGCAGGGGAAGGACACCCTCGCAGCCAGAAAAGCTCATTTTTTTTTCACCACAACTTTGCTAGCCAGAGAGATTTGACCCCGTCTTCTAGGTGGGGAAACTGAGGTTCAGAGCCTTCAAGAAAAGCATGCAATGGGAGTATCGAGTAAAAGTACTAAGTCACAGTACTCCAGCGGGGTCAGGCAGACAGGAGATTGGAAGTCAGGACTGGTCTGAGTCTGGCTTTGTACTCCTGTCCTCTACCCCATGCGCCCTTTGAATTTAAAGAAACGGGAAGGGCGCAGAGTGTGGGTAGGACACCATGGGGTTGACCAGGGGCTAAAATAGCTCATCAAAGCCAGTGGACCTTTCTCAGTTGAGAGACAGAGACTGGGCCTCCCGTGTAGAAATCTTTTCTTGCAGACTTTCTTGAAAGTACAGACTCAGGGTTTCTCCACAACCCAGCAGAGGATATATTATTGTTATCTTTATTTTGAAAGCTAGGGAGAGTGGGGCACAGAGAGGTTGACAAGTTTACTCAAAGCCACACAGCTCAGAAGCACAGGTTATGCACAGGTCCCAGCACCTCGAGACCCCACCACTCCCCCACCACCTGCAGCCAGGACACCTCTGCATGCAGCCCCAGTGGGAGCTTCTCCACTGCTTGCCCTGATCATGGTGACCTTGTGGCAGAACAAATCCCCTAAGGTTATCTTTGGAGGCCAAGATGAGGATCTTATCACTGAATCTTGTGACTTATCTTTGCTTGAAACCCCCCCCCCCCAGAGTAACCTTCAGCCGCAAAGCTGTTGTCCACGTGGACGGGGGCCGACATCGCACGTCCATCCGCCAGGACCCCCGTGTCCAGATTCAGAGACATGGCCACCGATGGCAGCAAGCTGGCCGATGGGCAGATCTCCACGGAAGTCAGCGAGGCCCCCATGGCCAACGACAAGCCCAAGACCCTGGTGGTGAAAGTGCAGAAGAAGGCCGGGGACCTTCCCGACCGGGACACGTGGAAGGGCCGCTTCGACTTCCTCATGTCCTGCGTGGGCTATGCCATCGGCCTGGGCAATGTCTGGAGGTTCCCCTATCTCTGCGGGAAAAATGGTGGCGGTAGGTGGTGGCCTGGGGATCTCCCAGCTGGGACGGGACCCACAAGAGAGGGTCCCGCTTAAGCATTTTCTGGGTCATTCTTAGCGGGAAAGGCTCCCTGAAGAATCCAAATCCTGAAGAATCCTATTTCTTGCTTCATGACATCTAAAGTCCATCTTTTTTTTTTTTCTTTTTGGTACTAGGAATTGAACCCAGGGGTCCTTTACTACTAAGCTACATTCCCATCCCTTTTAATTAATTTATTATTTTTTAAAATTTTGCAACAGGGCCTCGCTAAGTTGCTGAGGCTGGCCTCCAACTTAGGATCCTCCTGCCTCAGCCTCCTGAGCTGCTGGGATCACAGACATGTGCCCGCCATGCCTGGCCCTCATCTCTCTCTCTCTCTCTCATTTTTTTTTAAAATTTTAGCTATAGACACAATAACTTTATTTTGTTTATTTATTTTTTTACGTGGTGCTGAGGATTGAGCCCAGTGCCTCACACGTGCTAGGCAAGGGCTCTACCACGGAGCCACCACCCCAGCCCGCATCATCTTTTAATTTCAAAAAGAACAGGGATACATTTTGAGCAAAGGACACCCCTTAGCTTCCGGGTGGCTTTGGATGCTGCTTTGGAGGCAGGGTATAAGGAAATCCTGGTGGGGTTCCCCAAAGCCTCAGGGCCATGAGTGTGCGTCTTCTCCATTCTGCAGGGGCCTTCCTCATCCCCTACTTCCTGACGCTCATCTTTGCGGGGGTCCCCCTCTTCCTGCTGGAGTGCTCCCTGGGCCAGTACACATCCATCGGGGGCCTGGGCGTGTGGAAGCTGGCCCCTATGTTCAAGGGTGAGTGTGCGGAGAGGGGCGCTGGGGACGTGCCTTTGCCCCTGCCTGCAGCCTATGGGACCAACACCCCCAGCCCCTCTGCCAAGAGGGAGTGGCTCTGTGCACATCTGAGCAGAGTGGCATCCATGGCAAGGGGCCTAGTGACACCTGATATCACTTATGGAACATGTGCTTACCATGCCTTGGATCCCACCAGCCGCCAGCCTGGACCGGGCCCTGGCACGGGTACATGTGACCTCCCGCCAGTCACTGCCTCTCTCCTAGCCTCAGTGTCCCCCATAAGGCCCAACTCCAAGGTCAATCATGTCCCCCGTGCTGTGGAACAGGCCGGGCAGCGGCTCTCAGGACTGTACGCAGTGGAGGTGGTGACCGTGTCTTCTGTCCCCAGGTGTGGGACTTGCCGCCGCCGTACTGTCCTTCTGGCTGAACATCTACTACATCGTCATCATCTCCTGGGCCATCTACTACCTGTACAACTCCTTCACCACGGTGAGTGGCCCCTTTCGCCTCCAGCTCCCGCCGGGGACCAGACCCCAAGCACATCCTGTGTCCACTGGGACCACCCACCGTTCTGCAGGCAGAGCCGTTCCTCAAGGGGTCAAGGGCGTGGTTTGGCTTCTGCAGCCCACATCTCCCTGCAGTGGTGAAGCACTGGGCACTGGGCACTGAGCATCTTCTCTGGCCAGGCACTTCGTGGGGGCCAACATCGAATCCTCCAGACACACCCCCAAAGAATTGGTAACAGAGTCACAAAAGAGACCCAGAGAAGCGTCTCTATACCCCAGTTCTCAGCAGCGTTATCCCAGCAGCCAGCAGGCGGGAGCAACCCACCTGTCCATCAGTGACCCACAAGGGAACAAAATGTAGCCCATCTGTTCAGTGGAACAGCAGGCAGCCTTTTTTTAAATATTAAGGGAATTCTGACGCCTGCTCCAAGATGAGCCTTCAGGATGGTATATTAAGTGAAAGAAGCCATCACCAAGGGACAAATGCTGTCTGATTTCCCTTATCTGAGGTCTGTAGTGTCATCACACACGTAGAGATGAAAAGTAGGATGGACGCTGCCAGGAACCAGGGAAGGGAATGGGGACTTCACCGTACAATGGGGATGAAAAGAATTCTGGAGATGGGTGGTGGTGACGGTAGCACAATATTTTGGATATATTTAATGTCACTGCACTTAAAATGATCATGATGGGCCAGGTGCAGTGGTGCACACCTGTCATCCCAGCGGCTGGGGAGGCTGAGGCAGGAGGATCACTAGTTGGAGGCTAGCCTCAGCAATTCAGCAAGGTCCTTAGCAACTCAGAGAGACCCTGTCTCTAAATAAAATATAAAACGGGATGGGGATGAAGCTCAGTGGTTAAGCATCTCTGGGTTCCATCCCCAGTACTGAAAAAGAAAAAGAAAGAAATGATCAAGGTGGTATATAATTTTCTGTGACATGTATTTTACCACAGAAGTTAGAAAAAGAACCCAAACTGAACCCACCGCATTAGGTTGTTGTGAAGGTTAAGAAGCAAATACTTGCCAAGTGCCTAGAGCCAGCCCTGGCAGAGAGCAAGCGCTGTGCTCTCATTGTCACCATGCAGAGAATCAAATAGAGAGGTCTTCTGCCCAAGGTCACATAGCTGGGAAGTGACTTCAGGGTGGACACAGCATGTTGACAGTGTAGCTCCGAAGGCTGGTTCTCAGAGTGAGCAGAGTGAGGTTGAGATTTGGGCTCTGACGCTTAGTAGCTGTGTGATCTCAAGCAAAATTGCTGCCCCCCTCTGATCTATCAAATGGGAATCACAGGGCTATCCTGCCTCCCAGAGCTGCTGAGAAGGAGAGGTGGGATGATGGCTCTGAGGAGGCTCAGGGGACAGTTGAGGGTGGATAGCATGAGCGGGACCCTTTTGCTAGCCCTCGGGGGCTTATCGAGCTTTGTCCTCATGACTCTGTCCCTTGCAGACACTGCCCTGGAAACAGTGTGACAACCCCTGGAACACGGACCGCTGCTTCTCTAACTACAGCATGGTCAACACCACCAACATGACCAGCGCCGTGGTGGAATTCTGGGAGTGAGTGTGGGACCATCTGTGGGGGACAGGGAGGGCAGGTTGGCAGGGCCTTGCAGCAAAGGCACCCTCCAAAGAGTAATGCAAGCCCGATGCGGTGGTGCACGCCTGTCGTCTCAGTGCCTCGGGAGGCTGAGGCAGGAGGATTGCAAGTTCAAAGCCAGCCTCAGCCAAAGTGAGGCTCTCAGCAACTCAGCGAGACCCTGTCTCTAAATAAAATACAAAAAAGGGCTGACGATGGGGCTCAGTGGTTAAGCGCCATTGGGTTCAATCCCTGAGACCCCAGTCCCACCACAAAAAAAAAAAAAAAAAAAAAAAAAACAGTATTGCAGGAACCCGGGTGACAGTGGTACTTCCAGAGGTGTGGGCAGGGCACAGGGAGCTAAAGCCATTTCTTCCTCTAGAGGGCGCCAGACTGTGAAGGGCCACTTGACATGACCAATGGCCTCCAGCAGAAAACTCCTTATTGGACAAAGCCACAGTCCAGCAGGGAGGGTAACTCCCCTGGTCTCTCTCTCCTCCTGTCCCCCCATATCCTGCCAGGGCCTCCCCTTCATCAACCCAATCAGAATCCTAAGGGCAAGGGGACACCGTCCCCCAGTGTAGCAGTCAGCCTCTTGGGGCACAGTGCAGGGCAGAGAAGATCAGAGAGTGTGGATGCAGAGGGATCAATGGAAGGGAATGACTCACCTAGCCCAAAGGGTCACCTGGAGAGGTTGGCAACCCCTGGGTTCACCTCTTTTTTTATGTATATATTTTTTAGTTGTAGATGAACACAATACTTATATTTTATTTATTTATTTTTTTATGTGGTGCTGAGGATCGAACCCAGGGCCTCGCACATGCTAGGCAAGGGCTCTACCACTGAGCCACAGCCTCAGCCCTGGGTTCATCTCTTTGGCGTAAAGGAAGCCCCTGTGATGGGCATCTTTGAAGGATCTGGGAGCAACTCAGAAAGTTCTGGAACGCCAGGGATAAGCTATTCCCAGCCGGTGTGGTCAGAACAAGCAATGCCTAGTCTCTCTCTTTTTTTTTTTTTAAATCTTACTTTTTAGTTGTAGTTGGACACAATACCTTTATTTTATTTTTATGTGGTGCTGAGGATGGAACCAGGACCTCACACGTGCTAGGTGAGCGCTCTGCCACTGAGCCACAACCCCAGCCCAATGTCTAGTCTCTTTGCCGTGCAATGTCCTTGGAGAGTCACTTTCCTTTATGAATAAATAAATTCTGCTCTGGCTGGTCCTGCTCACCAGCATCTCCCACGTGGCAGTCTCTCAAACACGTTTGCAGGCTTCATTCCGATGCTGGTGATGAGAATCCATCAGCGCCGAGTCCCAGTTCCCCAGATGTTGGAGACTGAACACCCCAAGAAATGCCGAGGCAAGCGTGGAAAGCAAGTTTTATTTAAAGGATAGAACAGAGAGAGGCTTCTCCACAGTAAAGGGGTGCCGGAGCTGGGTGTCCTGCCCCTTTTATAGGTTTTAGATTTTCTTTGTCCTCATGCCCTTTCTCTAGTGACTAACAGGTGGGCCAAAAGGTGGGTAAGGAAGCCTTTTAGGGGTACCCTTCCATGTCTGCCCAAACAGGCAGGAAAAGAGCCACACAGGAGGGACTGCATTAACTCATTAACGACTTCTTGGGAGGAACAGTTCCCGGTAGGCAGGTAACCTTGGCAACAGGTGGAGGAGGAGGGGGTCGGGCTCTGGAGGTATTAGCATTTGATTTCTTTTCCTTTCCAACCAGCCCCCATGTCCCGTGTCTGACCCAATCATTTATAAATGTACACTGACTATCCTTTTGTCCCCCGACTTCAATTCAACCTTTTTATTCCTTAAACATTTCTTGAGAACCTACTATGTGCCAATGTGATCGTAGACCCAGGTACGCAAACAGGCAACAGCAGTGTCAGGTGATGGGGGCCATGGGGACAGACACACAGGAGCCCCAGGGAAGAGGCTGGACCGATCATGGCATTGGCGAGGCAGGTGCTGGCAGAGGGCAGAGTGGGCCGGGAGGTACAGAGAGCAGGCTGAGTACAGGTGGGGATTCAGCCTGACGGGGTGCGGGAGGGAGCTGTTGGTAAGTGCTGAGACCAGAGGGGGAAGCAGGGGCCGGCTCACAAGACCTTGGGTGGCCTCCAGGGAGTGAGTGCTTTATTCTGGGAAACAAAAGGGAGCTCTTCTTTGCAGGATTTTAAGCAGGAAATTGACATGGTCAAACTTGCCGTTTAGAAGGATCCCTGGGGCCACAGTGGTGGCAGAGTGAAAGCAAAGGTTGGGTCCCCCAGGAGGCCGCTGTGGCCCCCAGGTCCAGGTGAGCAATTATGGCTACTGAACTAAGGCCCCCGCAGGTCTTGCTCTCTTTGACCTCTTCACCAAACAGCGCTTTTCTAGTGATTTCTGTAACAATCTTCATCGTCTCCATCCAAATTGCAGGGATCAGCAGGTCTGCTCTTTCCCCCGGGAGGATATTGTCTGCGCTCATGCCCCAGGCACCCCAGGGTCCCTCCAGCTCCCTCCGACCCCCACATGACTTCTCTCTTCTGTTCCACCAGGCGCAACATGCATCAGATGACAGACGGGCTGGACAAGCCAGGTCAGATCCGCTGGCCGCTAGCCATCACCCTGGCCATTGCCTGGATCCTTGTGTATTTTTGTATTTGGAAGGGTGTCGGCTGGACCGGAAAGGTAGGGGATGTGGGTGCAAAGAGGGGATGGAGGGACGGGACTGGAGAGGATCTGTATCCTGGGCATGGATGAGTGCTTTCCCCGGAGTCCCATCTCACCTTGAGTGAAGCAGGTTCTTTTAGCTCTCTGCGGCTCAGTCTCCTCTGTAGAATGAGAACCATAAGATCCCCTACCTTCTAGATCCATTGTGAGCATTGAAAGAAGAGATGCAAGTCAGGCCCTACTAAAGCATCAGCCTCACCCTGAATCCCATGAGATTCCACTGGGACTGGTGGCCATCACAGAACAGGAGAGAAATGTTGCTCAAGGACTACCGAACACACTTTTCCTGAGCATCTACTTTGTGCCAAGCTTTATCCTCGGCGCCGAGTCCTCAGAGATAAAAAAGTTCACATTCTGACTCAGGGACAGACAGATGAATAGTTAATGACTAAGGCTCTGTATTCTAGTCGTGAGTTTGGATTCTGACTTGGTTATCTGTGGGTCCTGTGACCTCAGGCAAAACACATTACCTCTCTGAAGCTCAATTTCCTGTTCTGTAAAATTGAGCTAATAAAGATGCCCATCGATTGGTTTGTTACGAGAATCAAAGGAGCTGGTGATTCTGCAAAGCAGAATCTCCAACAAAGGAGATTGTCATTCATTTCGTTTTATAAGAATTTTTGTTTATAAAGAATTTAACCTTTATTTTATTTGTTATTGTTGTTGTTGTTGTTTATGTGGTGCTGAGGATCAAACCCAGAGCCTCACCAGTGCTAGGCAAGTGCTTTACCACTGAGCCACAACTCCAGCCCCCCAATCTCACTTTAAGAAGCAAAAAAAAAAAGAATAGAGTTTGAAGGCTTTGGAAGAGAATTTGAATCTCGGTTCCCCTGCTTTTAGCTCTGTGCTCTTGGGCAAGTCATTTGACCTCTCTGAACCTCTGTCTCCTCCCCTGTTAAAATTGTCCCAATAACAGTATCTTACAAGGTTGTTACAAAGGGGGCTAATTTGTGCAGAATGCTCACTTGACACATAGTATTAATTATAATCATTTGGAGGTGGTATCAAGGATTTCTGCAGTAGCGCTGAGGATATGGCTCAGTGGTAGACTGCTTGCCCAAATGTATTCCTGTTTTCCTGTACATTTAGAAGACTGTACTTTTGGGGGACAGAGAGTAGGGCCTCCTAGCTGCCTCTTTTGGAGGTGTCATCAATATGCATTTATTAAATGCTTACTGTGTGCCTGGCTCCATGTTGAACATAGAAGACACAGGGAAGTACTAGATCGAGCCAACGTATTTTAGGCAGGTTGTATGTCCTCATACAATCAAAATTTCTGAGTAGCAAGGGTGCTTATACCCATTTTCCAGAGAAGACAAAGTGAGGCTCAGAGAGGATAAGACATTGACCCAAAGTCCCACAGCCTGTAGGTAATACAGATGATGCTGAATTCCCCTCTGCCTAACTCAAAGTGCAGTGGTTTTTCTAGAGGGTCAAGATTGCCTTTCCTAATCCTGAAGGATCCTAGAGTCAAATCAGGGAGATGAAAGTAGTTAAAAAAAAAAAAAAAGCATGCTGGCATGGAAATAGGGGAGACTCTGAGATCCAAAGGTCATTGAACTTGAAAATTGCTCTTCTATACTAGTGAGCTAAGAAACGCAATTTCACACAGCGTCAGCCTTTTGATGACCAAACTGACAAAATCATAATTTTTAATATTGCTCTACTTAGGGCAGGCTCTGCCAGGAAGCCTCGGTAATGCTGAATGGAATTCCATTTCCAGAACCAGTCGGGCAAGAGGGATCAAGAGACTTAGAGAAGCATATTCCTTTTCATCAGTGATCCCACTGCCAGAAATATTTCCCAGGAGTGGTGTAATAATTTTGTAAATCAAGATTCATATACAGAGATGTTCCATGTGGTATTTAGATTCACATAAAATTGGAAGTAACCTAAATGGTAACATCAGGGTGTGGGAGGAGGACTTAAAAATAGAGAGATTTCCCCAGGGACTACTTTCTATAATGAACAATCATATTGTTCATGAAACAGTGAAAATCTACTTAGTAAACAAAACCGTATGTACTGTGGTTCTCAACCTTAAGCCTGTTAAGCAAATAGACAACTGCAAAATTTGAGTCTCGTTTTGTAAGAAAATGAAAACAGGGGCAGGATTTGTGGCTCAGTGGTAGAGCGTTTGCCTAGCATGCCTGAGGCACTGGGTTCGATGATGGGCACCACATAAAATAAAAAATAAAATAAAAGCATTGTGTCCATTTACAACTAAAAAAAAAATTACAAATAAAATAAAAAGAAAATATAAACAGACATGCCTAGAGGAGTCTCACAGGAGGAACACTAGAATGTTAACATCCATGCTGCTACATAATTGTCAGACACTTATAGAGTGTCTACTGTATACCATGGACTGTCCTAGGTATTTGAGGAACAGAGAGGTGAAAATATAAGTCCTATCTCTCATGTAACTTTTATTCTCGGAGCTGTTGAAGGCTGTGTGTGTGTGTGTATGTGTGTGTGTGTGTGTGTGTGTGTGTGTGTGATTTAAAAATGTTCCCAACAGCTGGGCACCGTGTCCCATGCCTGTATCCCATTGGTTTAGGAGGCTGAGAAAGGAGGATCACAAGTTCAAAGTCAACATTCATAAGGGCGAGGCACCAAGCAACTCAGGCAGACCCTGTCTCTAAATAAAATACAAAATAGGGCTGGCAGGTGGCTCAGTGGTCGAGTGCCCCTGAGTTCAATCCCTGGTACCTTTCCCCGCACCTCCCCCCCTCAAAAAAAAAAAATGTTCCTAACAAGAAGGGAAAAATTAGGTGCTGAGCTGATTGGTTCAGAATGTGGGGAGGGGCTTCAGAAAAGTGGCCAAGCAGAGCAGGTTAGGAATCCAGGAGGGCTTCCTGGAAGAAGAACTGGATCCAAAGCCCAGAGCTAGGAAAAGCGCTGGAGCTTTGGAGCAAGTGGTGTGACCGGCCGCTCCGTCTCCTCGCAGGTGGTCTACTTCTCCGCCACGTACCCCTACATCATGCTTATCATTCTGTTTTTCCGTGGAGTGACGCTGCCCGGGGCCAAGGAGGGCATCCTTTTCTACATCACCCCCAACTTCCGCAAGCTGTCGGACTCCGAGGTGAGCTGTGCTCCCGGCGGGGGTACCCCAGAAAGCAGAGCCCAGGTTAAGAGCAAACCTGAGTCCTGAACCCCCACTTGCAAGTTACTGCCCCTCTCTGATGCACGCATGCAAACTGGGGTCGTTGTTAGGTAGCACATTGAAAAAGACCCCAAGGGGCTGGGGTGGTGGCTCAGTGGCAGAGCGCTTGTCTAGCATGTGTGAGGCACTGGGTTCGATTCTCAGCACCACACATACCAAAAAAAAAAAAAAAAGTCCATAAAAAACTTTAAAAAATTAAAAAGACCCCAGGGGGCTGTGGCTGTAATACAAAGTGGATCATTTTTGATCGTTCTGCCCATAGGTGTGGCTGGATGCAGCTACCCAGATCTTCTTCTCCTACGGGCTGGGCCTGGGATCCCTGATCGCCCTTGGAAGCTACAATTCTTTCCACAACAACGTCTACAGGTGCAAACCCCTTCCTTCCCGGCCACACCCCTTTATCACCACGCCCACACGTGGCCACGCCCACACGTGACCACGCCCACCAACGGCCACGCCCCCTGGTGGTCAACCTGTTAGGTCCCTCTCTGACCTCATGCCCTCTGAGTTATTTTCTGATACACTCCCTCATGGTCTGTCACCTGTTCCAGCTTCTGCCTTTCCCTGGCCCTTCTGGCTGCGCCCTACCCTGGCTTGCTCTGGGACCTAAGATTCTGGGGCCACCCTAACCTGTAGACACCCTCCCAGGTACCCTCCTCCCAGCCCCGCCCCTGAATAACTGCTGCCCGCTAGCTCCGCCTTCTGAACAGCCCCGCCCTCCCTGACCCCGCCCCTCCCTCTCTCCAGGGACTCCATCATCGTGTGCTGCATCAATTCGTGCACCAGCATGTTCGCCGGATTTGTCATCTTCTCCATCGTGGGCTTCATGGCTCATGTCACCAAGAGGTCCATTGCTGATGTGGCGGCCTCAGGTCAGCGACACCCGGTGGAGGGCCCCGGTGGCTGGGGAAGGAGAAAGCTAACCCCCCCCTGGCATGTGCGGTCATCAGGAATATACATTTGTGTCCACCTGGAACGTGATTCCTTCCATGATACAAGAGTCCCCCAAATTCATGCCTTTGTCCTGGCTTCAAAAATATTCTCACCACGTGGGCAGTACCCACCCTGCTCTCCACACCGTTGTCAATGACAAGGGCCAGAGGAAAGTCGTCACCTGATTCCCTGTGCAAGCAGTCCTCAGGAGGGACTCACTGTGTGCATTTGCAGAGGCCCTTGAGACTCAGAGAGGTGACACACATAACTTGTCCCTTAGAGAACTAGGATGGTCATGTGGGAGGGAACAGTTCCCAGCTGGGGTTCTAATCTCCCCTACATGGGCAGCTCCCATCTTATGACGCTGGAACTCTCCATTCACCACCATTTCCGCCCCACTCTCAGAGCCAGACACAGAGAGGTTAGTCTCTTTCCTGCTCATTCCAAGATTTCCCCCTGAACTATTATACTCAAATACAATATGTCCCTACCAGACCTCCCCAGCCTTCTCCACCCCTGTGTTCCCCATCCCAGAGGGGTCCCCCATCCAGTGCCCAGGCCAGAAACTCAGCATCACCCCTGATCTTCACCCCACAAGCTAGCCCATACCAGTACCACTCCTACACTGTCCTCTGCTCCTATCTCTCCATCTGCACCTCTCTGAACCTACATTATCCCAACTACTGGCCAGATCATTGCAATCCCTCATTGGGATGATGGTGACGGCTTCTTACCAATCTGGATGAACCACAGATTTGGGTCACCTACTCCGTTTCCTAAGTGGCTGATGACACTCACTGAGAAAATGAACTGAAATAAAGCTGGGAGAGCGAATGGTATGTGGGTACACCATAGGTGCTCAATACCCTTTGACTTGCTTGTGCTTTCCCCCCACAGGCCCTGGGCTGGCATTCCTGGCATACCCGGAAGCAGTGACCCAGCTGCCCATTTCTCCCCTCTGGGCCATCCTCTTCTTCTCCATGCTACTGATGTTGGGCATCGACAGCCAGGTGAGGGCTCCCCCTTCAAGCACCCTCCCACCCCCAGCCTCCTTAGTCCAGGAAAAAGTAGAGAAAGGAGGCCACCCTTCAGCCCCCCAAGAAGATGACCAAGAATTCCAGACCCCTAGAACGTTCCACTGTATGATACTTTAGGAAACAACTCCGCCACTCTCCCATTTCCCGGAAGTGGAAAATGGGACAGGTGGCTGAGCCCAGAGGGATTGTGCTCTCTGAATTTGCAAAGTGAGCCAGAGGCAAAGTCAGGCTGGATCCTGGGGTTGTCCTAGCCCTGATCTCTCTCTGCTGCTGGGCCTCCTGTCTTCTCCTCCAGGGACAGGCTTTGGGTGAGTTGGGGCTTGGGACTGCTGTAGATAGCTGACCTCTGTTCCCCCTGCAGTTCTGCACCGTGGAGGGCTTCATCACCGCCCTGGTGGACGAGTACCCCAGACTCCTCCGCAACCGCAGAGAGCTCTTCATTGCTGCCGTCTGCATCATCTCCTACCTGATCGGCCTTTCTAACATCACCCAGGTGGGTTCAGTGGTCACCTGATGCACCCCAGAGCTGCCCCAGGGCCTCCATCACCATCCCAGTCAGTAACCACCTTCCATCCCTGCACTGTGCTCCAACTGTGCTGAGCAAGGAGTTAGACAGGGCCTCAGGCTGGTGACAGACACAGGCATGGAGCCAGAAAGTATAGGGAAAAGCCACAGAGTGCAGCACCTAACTTGTCCTGGGCACCAGCAACTGTTTCTTGGAGCTGACATGCAAAAGGCCCTCATCCATGAGATCCTCAAGTTGGAGTTGAACCTTTGAGGTTGACACTGCCCAAAGTCTCCTTTCATTGTCACTTTTCTTTTTGTATAGATACAAAAAGATGAGGAGTGTGTTCTGTATTCCAGGCCCTCCCAGTTTAGTTGGGAGGTATACACATAATAAGTGAATTGTACAATAAATATAAATGCTCTAAAACCATAAGCTCAGCTTCTGGGACTCATCTGTGATCCACCAATGACCCCTGGCTCTAAATACAGTTCTGATCCAGTGTCATTGTTTCCCCATTCCTGCATTCACAAAAAAGGGGGATAACAGGATAGAAAATGATCGTCAGGCCTGAGAGGGACTCTACTTGGGACAAGGTGATCAGGGCAGGTTGATCAGGTATTTAAATAGTGAGGAAGAGCCAGTCAGAGGAGGATCCGGGGTAAGAAAGCAAAGCATGTGCAAACGCCAAGAGGTGAGAATGAGCTTGGAAACCTTCATGGAGAGGAAGAAAGTCTGCATAGTGGACCCAGAGGGAGTGAGGGCAGCAGATGGGGTGCAAAACTAGACCATGCCAGACCCTGGGGGCATTTGGATTCAATTTGATTTGAATTGATATCTCACCAGTTATTTATGTTATTATCTTCTTTAAGCCAGAGAAGGTTTTAAGCAGGGAAAAGGCATGACTGATGTTCTCTACGGAAAGATATCTCTGGTCACCAAGTCCTCATTCTGCCCTCCAGCCCTACCAGAAGTAGGGTGTCTCCCTCTACCACCTGGACATTTTCTTCCCAGTCCCCATAAAGTGAACATCTTCATCCTGTCATGCTTACAGGGCCCTTAGTCCTTGCTCTAATCCACCCTAGAGCTTTCTTGCTGCAGTGTAGCCTAATCCCAGCCTCTTCAGGCTCTGAAGCTGAGTGCACGGGGTGCTGGGGGCGGGGAAGCAGATCTGCATTCACCCTCTTTTCCTCTTGCAGGGGGGTATATATGTCTTCAAACTTTTCGATTACTACTCTGCCAGTGGCATGAGCCTGCTGTTCCTCGTGTTCTTTGAATGTGTCTCCATTTCCTGGTTTTACGGTGAGCACCATCCTTCTTTCATTCATTCATTCATTCATTCATTCATTCATTCATTCATTCATTTATTCATTCCTTTTTTCAATCATCTCTCAACAATGCAGTTTGAACACCAAATCCCTTTTCCCCTGCAGTAATTTATTTAGTTTCCACAACCGTTCAGTGAGATTTACACAGGAGGCCCCCATGTTTAGTAGATTTGAAAAGAACAGCTAAATAAATTCATTTATAACACAAGCTAACATTTCGCCTTCTAGCAAAGCCATGGAAGAAATGACTGGGAGGGATGTCAGGTGGCGGGGGGCATTAGGAGTAGGGAAGACACATTTTCTTTCCTTCTTTCTTTCTTTCTTTTTTTTTTTTTTTTGGTACCAGGGATTGCACTCAGGGGTGCTTAACCCTTGAACCACATCCCCAGCCCTTTTTATATTTTATTTAGAATGAGTCTCACTAAGTTGCTGAAGCTGGCCTCAAACTTTCAGTCATCCTGCCTCAGCCTCCCAAGCTGCTGAGATTACAGGCTTGTGTCACTGTGCCTGGCTGGAAGATACATTTTCTTTCTTTCTTTTTCTTTCTTTTTGGTGGTGCTGGGGATTGAACCCAAGGCCTTGTGCATGCAAGTCAAGCACTCTACGAACTGAGCTCTATCCCCAACCCCTGGAATACACATTTTCTAAGTATCCTTTTCTTAGTATAAAGCTTCACCATTCAGGTATCTTGCTTTCTTACTTGCTGTAGGGATTTGGCTGTTGAAAAATGCTTCAATAACAGTAGCGTCGGTTCCATGTTCCAGACAAGGAAACTGAAGCTCAGAGAAGTTAGGTGATTGGCTTCTGGTCACAGTGCAAGAAAGTAGTGGAGTTGGGCTTTGAACCTGTGGTCCCTACAGCTCACCCATTCCTCCCACCCTTGCTCTGGATATCACAGGTGTCAACCGATTCTATGACAATATCCAAGAGATGGTCGGCTCCAGACCCTGCATCTGGTGGAAACTCTGCTGGTCTTTCTTCACGCCCATCATTGTGGCGGTAAGGATAAGCCTTGACCAGCCCGTCAGGATGAGGCTGGCCTGGGTCTGGTGACTACTCGGCTCCATAGAGAAACTTCTGGAGGCAAAGGCAGGAGGAAGAGGCCCCTGGATCCCTGTCCCTTAATAATACTTCTCCCTACCATTTGCTGAGCTCCTGCTGTGGGATCTGCTCATGTGACATCCCGTTCCCATCCTCCGTGGAACAGGCATTATTATCTCACTGCACCACAGAGGGAACGGGGGCTCACCCAGCCAGCCTCACTCGGCAAGTTAGTGCCGAGGTTCGAAGCCGCTCAGCCTGACCCAGAAGCCCAAGCTCTCGGCACCAGGAGGCCTGTTGCCCTCAGCAACTCTCATTCCTTCCCACAAGGAGGAGGTGACGTCCAGGTGGCCTGAAAGAAGCCACCACAGGTCCCTGAAGTGGAGGCTGGGCCATTGTGCCCACTGTGTCCTGCACCCAGCCTGTGGCCTGCAGGGAGCTGACACCTAACCCTTGCTCTGGAGGGAGGGAGTCCCCTTTCTAATGGGACTTGTCAGAGGAGATGGTTTCCTGCTGGCCTCCCCAGAGAGGTGCATTTTCTATTCTGCACAGAGGAATCTTATGTGCCAGCAGTGGCTTTGGGTACAAGACTCCCGGGATGCTGGGCCTTCGCAAGGGTCAGCCTTGGGAGGAGGGTGGAGTGTCATGGGAGACCTTCGTTGTCCAGGTGACTGACTGCTCCCTCTCCTCCACCCTCCGCAGGGGGTGTTCATTTTCAGCGCTGTGCAGATGACTCCTCTCACCATGGGAAGCTACGTTTTCCCCAAGTGGGGCCAGGGCGTGGGCTGGCTCATGGCTCTGTCTTCCATGGTCCTCATCCCCGGGTACATGGCCTACATGTTCCTCACCTTAAAGGGCTCCCTGAAGCAGGCAAGTGCTTTCCTACACTTGGAATCCATGGCTAGTCCTCTTCTCCCACTGTGCTGGACACTGTGCCAGGCCTTGTGGAACACAAGGTCTAGCTGGGGAGCCCAGAGAAGTCAACAGCCAGTGACATACGAGTGTTAGAGAGGCATCGTTGGGGAATGAAATGGGGAGGAGATGGGAGCAAGTAACCCTGCCTTAGGCCTCTTCCTAGATTGAGGAGGATTAGAGAAGGCTTCCTGGAAGAGGGAAGGCATGAAGATAGACTAAACTTAGTGATAGAAGCAGAAAGAATGTTTCTAGAAGGGGAAGGGGAGAGAGGAGAAGTTAGGAGGCATGTGCAAAGGTCCAGGGGTATAAACTGCATTTGGTGACCTGAAGGGACATCAGTGTAGCAGGAGGGAAGAATGAGGAGGGGTAGAGGGGAGCAATAAGAGATGAGATTGGAGATGTATGAAAGACAGGTTAGATCATGAAGGGCTTTGAAAATCAGGACAAGAACTTTAGACTTCATCCTGAGAGTTATGAAGAGCCTGCAGGGGTTTGGAGCAGACGAAGGGTGGGATCAGGTTTATTGGGGGTGTTTCTCTAGATCTCATTCATGGGCTTGATATATATAGGAAATGTGGTCTGACTCTCATGGAAAGGTACATCGCCCCATCATTATATACCAATTGAGGATCCCTTATCCAAAATGCTTGGGAATAGAAGTGTTTTGCATTTTAGAGATTTGGGGGTGGGGATCGGATCTTGGGACATTTGCATATATATATAATGAGATATCTTGGTGTTGGAACCCAAGTCTAAATGTGAAATTCATATATGTTTCCTATATACGTATTCATGGACAGAACCTGAAGGTGATTTTATACAATATTTTTAGTGCATCTCTGCTTTGACTTTGACCTGTCCCATGAATTCAAGTGTGGAATTTTCTACTCGGTTGTGTCACACCAATGCTCCAAAAGCTTCAGGTTTGGGAGCATTTCCGATTTCCGATTTTCGGATGAGCAAAGTGCAACCTGGTCCCTGCCGGGTGGTCTTTGTTGAATTGCACTGAATTCCTGCATGAAGCAAGGCGCTGCTGGAGGTGCACAGGGAAAAGAGACACTGGTGGGATACATGCAGGCAGAGATCGCTCCACCAAGGAAGGGGGTGACAAGCAGACTGTAGAGGGCAGGGCGTCCCCTGCAAGGCCAAGGTCAAGTGGTTCCCCTTGAAGATGTATTTGCCAATTTCAGCCAGAAGGGGGAGCTCCAAGGTCGAAGGCTTGGGGAAGATGAGTGGTGGGTAGTTGCGTCCAGACCCTGGGCTGCTGGGCCAGCCTCCCCCTTTCACAGATGGAGAAACTGAGGCCCCAAGCTGAGAAGCTGCTTACCCAGCCTTTGCAGTAAGTTATTAACAGCGCCGGGGCATGCAGCCCTTTCTTGTCACTCCAAGTCCAAAGTTTTTGTTTTCCATGATCTGCTGCAGAGCCCCAAAGGACAGTTGGGTCTTGAAGTGGTAGAGAAGCAGAGGGAGGGCATCAGAGAACGCAGCCCATGCAAAGGCCCGGCGGTGGAAAAGGCAGAGGGTCAGGGAGTCAAAGCTGACAGGGCAGAGTCATGGAGGATGTGTGTAGCAAAGGTAGCCAGGCATTCATCCACTTAGCAAATCTGTAATGTGGCAGACACTACTGTTAATGCTGGAGACACTGTCATGAGCAAAACAAGCAGAAACTCTGCCCTCATGGAGCTTCCAGTCTAGCAGAGGAAAGATGAACAATTAATAAAATAAGTAGAAATAACATGGGAGTAACTACCATGGAGGAAAAAATAAAGTAAGTAGGGGGTTAGGGAGTACAGGACAAGACCTCACTGAGAAGATAAGACACTTGAGCTCAGATCTAAGGAGATAGACAGCAAGCTGTAGAACTATCTGGAAGGAAGGATGTGCCTGGTAGAGGGAGAGTGTGTGTAAAGGCCCTGAGGCAGGAGTGTGCCTGGTTTATGTGAAGAACGATGTGGGCTGGAGGATGAGTGAGGGTGGATTGGAGAAGAAGGGAGCCACTCATCCTCCACCACCCAGCCTCATACCTCCCTTACTGGTCCCCACAGCGCATCCAGGTGATGATCCAGCCCAGCGAAGACATCGTCCGCCCGGAGAACGGTCCGGAGCAGCCCCAGGCCAGCAGCTCAGCCACCAAAGAGGCCTACATCTAGGGGCGCGGGGCGGCTCGCCGACCCAACACTGTCACCCCGCCCAACCTGGTTGAAGGCGACCACCACTTGATGACTGAAGATAACCTTCTATCTCCACCTACCTCAAGTGGCGAGTCCAGATTCCAACACCACACAAAGAGAGGGGAGGTGGGGGGGGCAGTCAGACCCCTGGGGGGGCCCTCCTGGGGGGGGGGCCATGTAACCCAGTGGCTTCCAGCATCCGGCGGGCTGGTGACCTTTCTCCTGGGGGGACCCCATAAGCATCAAGCGGTCCGTTGACATTCGTAACTGCCGTGGTAGCTCATTTTTATCCCGCCAGCGAGTGTGACCCTGTGACCCGGCCAGGCCATAGACACACACACACACACACACACACACACACTCCTGGCTTTTAGTCGTATTCTTGACTGTTTTCTTGCCGAACCCTGTGACTGTTATCTTGGACTTTGCAGGAAGGTCGGTTCCGCCAGACACTGCTCTGGACAAAGGACAAGGGCGTTTTTGTATACGGTGGGGACTGCCAGGGACAGTTTACTCGAGGTGGCAGGGAGCCCGCGGGGAGCTCTGACTTTTCTTTTCTTTTTATTTTTTTAATTTTCTCCTTCCCGAGGCAGCTGGACAAAACAACCCCCAAAGACCTCAGTCTGTGTGTGTTCCCAGAGCTGTTTCACAAGCAGCACGCATAGCATCCTCTGCAGCTCCGTGTCCCTATCCCCATCCTTGCCAGCCCAGGGCCCTTCTGATTGGTGACCATCCAGGCCCCAGAAGGGCTTAAAATGCCACAAGCACAATTCATTTCTTTTGATCGCCATTCCTAAGGTACCTCAGGGCCCCGTGGGGGACATTCCCCAATTGGGATCTCTGGTTTGTCGCAAGCAGCCCAGTTTTTCAGAGCACAAAACCACTGCAGAGTTGAAATCAAGGTGGACGGTGTGTGTGTCGGAGGGTCCAGACCATTCCAATTATCCTTCTGTTTTCCCTCTTAAAGTCTCACTCTCACTGCCAACCCCATTCCAAGCTGCCACCCCCCCCCCACCCAGTCCCTTTCCTGGAATCTCCTCACTGCCACTCAAATCTACCCAGCCCGTGAAACAACCCAGGAACCAGTATGAATCCAGAGACTCCACCCCTACTCCACCCCCAGATGCCCAGACGATGAGGATGTGATGTGCTTCCGGAGATTTCAAAGTGCTTCATTGGGGAAGTGTTATTTATTCCTCTTTGGAATCGGGCTCCATGGTGCTGGCAGCAACGAAGCGGGTGAAGACAGTGTCTCAAAAGTTCCAGCAGCTCAGTACCTTTTGCATTGGCCAGGAAGATGGGTTCCCATGTAGCAAAGCTGTATGTCGTGCCCCCCCCATAGCTCCTTAGCTCGTTAGCTCACAAACTGTGTTTTATTATGACTAATCCTTAATAACTATGATAAATAACTGTGACTGTGAGGTTTGTTTTTTTTTTTTAATCTCTTGTCATTCTCAGCTGACAGTGACCAGCATACCAGTTCTTGCAATAAGGTATTACCCTCAGAGTATTAAGCACATTATCGTAGAGAATAAATAATATGTAATGCACCTAGAAATGCACACACATGCACACTCATTCTCACGTGTGGCACATAGGGTCCCATGTGATATTGTGTAGGAAATCTACAACCTTCTCCCGAGGTTGCCTGTAAAAAAAATAATAGTCTCATTGCTAAGGCATCCCCGATGCCGAGTGGCAAAGCCATGTTCAAGCTGCATATGTATTAAGTCCTAGATTTAGAATGAAAGGACCCTGCACTGTGTCTCCTGGTCCCATCCCATCCCCATCCGTGTGTGAGTTCCTTTAGAATTAAGAGCAAGGAGCCTTCTAACTTTCTCTTTGTTCTTCAATGTGAAACTGAGATCAAGTCTTTCTAAGTATATTTAATGTTTGTAAGCAATTCTAACTGAGATGTTTGGCAAGAAATCCCCTAACTGATTTCCATCCAAACTTACCTTATAGAGCACAATAGTGTAAGTGTCGTACATTTACTGTGAGAACTGTGAATATGTGTAACTTTTTTCCTTTTTTTTTCTTTTTTTCTTTTTCTTTTTTTTTTTTTTTAGTATTTGCCCAGGGAGGGGAAAAAAGATATTGTATTATCATATATGCTTTTCTTTTTTGCAATAAGGATTTATTCTCAGAACACCAAGTAAATCTATCTCTATATAAAAAATATATGTAATATATACATATTCAAAGTATATACAGAGCCTGTTTTAAAAAAAAATTACAGTATTATTTAGTAAAATTATCTGTTCTATGGACCAAATGTAAAATATTTATAAATGAAGATACATTTTAAATGTCTATAAATGGTGTCATAACCAGAGCACGGGCGTTATGTACGCTTCTAAGAATTTAGAGGAAAAATAATAAAGGTTCTATGATATACAACATCAGACCTTCAATTCTTTTGGGGGTGGGCAGGATAGCTTCTTTCATCAAAGCAACAGAATGAACACACAAAACTTATTTTTCCCCCCTAACAGGGAGAGATTTGAGTGCAAAATTCAGTGAAATGGAGCTGGATTTTCCCAGTCTTAGAATGAATAGAAAATGAGTCTGAGCTATGTAAAGGAGGGGCATTTGGTCAACTTAATAAAGATCTAAAACTGAAGGATGGCAGCAGCTTGCTTAGTTAACAATGACATTCATTCACTCACGGACTCATTCCTCAAAACTTTTTAATTTTTTTTTCAATCTTATTTAGAAAAATGTGAGTTCTACAGAGGGGTCATAAGAATAGTTCAATGGATGCCTGTCTAGGCTTCACCCAGATTTACCACTTGTTAACATGTTGCCCCATTGATTTAAACCCTCTCTCCTCTTTGACTCTTATCAGACAGGGTTCAGTCTGGAAAGGGGAACTGCTATGAATATTATGGAACAGGGATTTGTTACAGAGTCAAGACCTTAGGCAATTGTGAGATTGGGACATAAAGATCTGAAAGGGGAATGGGGGGCATCAGAGCAAATGTCCCCTGTGTTCCTTGCCACCTCTCTTCCATAGGACCTTCAAGATGCTGAACCAATATAGAATTCCACTGGGTCCACAATGCATGGGGGTTCAGTGAGACTCAAAGTCAGTATGTGGGAAGCATCTTATGTCCACAGTAAGTTATCAGGGTCTCCCAGAATCCTGAGAGGTCATACTCTCCATTGGAATTAAGAACTCGCTTCCAACTTGCCAGAAAGAAGGCAATCCAAGAAGAAACGTAACAACCAGGGAACCCTCTCATCCTTTTGTATGCAAGTGCTATGGTTTGGTTATGGTTACAGTGTACACCCAAAGGTTCATGTACTACAACCTTGGTCCCCCAGTGTGAAGAGGTGGAGCTTATTGGAAGGTGCTAAGTCATTGGGAATATCACCCTTTTCAAAAGGAATTAATGTTGTTCTCCTGGGAACCCAATTATTTCTTCCAAGAGGACTGTTATAAAAGAGCAAGAGGCTGGCCCCTCCCCAGCCTCTGGCTTCCTGTCTTGCTGTGTGATCTGTCCTCTCTTACCTGCTCCTACCATGATGCCCACTGCCATGAATCCCTTACTAGAACCGACGCCATGCTGTTTGGACTTTTGGCCTCCAAAACTGTGAGCTAACTAAATCTCTTTTCTTTATAAGATACTTAGCTTCAGGTAATTTATTATAGCAAGAAAATACCATAAGACAGCAAGTTACTTCTGCGTAGCTTTTACACTGAAAATGATGGCATGTGAAGGAAGGAGAGGGAAAGACACGACCACCCATACTTTATTTCTCTTACTTATAAATTAGCCAAAGGAAATGAGTGTTGGCACAAAGAGAAACGTGGGCTATGGGTATGGCTCAGTGGCAGAGTGCTTTCACAGCATGTATGAGGCTCTGGGTTTGATTTTCAGCACTGTGTAAAAATAAATAAAGGTCTATTGACAACTGAAATACAGTAAAGGTATGCTGTTCATCTACAACTACAGAGACAGAGAGAGAGAAACTTAATTTTATTTTATTTCACAGCTCTCATAAGAATGAAATACACATTCATGTTCAAGCTTTGAAATACGTATCCTGCAATTTCACATGCAATTTGAATGATCTCAGATCTGTATTTGCATATTGTAAAGATGAACAGGAAACTTTATGATACTAGTTTAAATTTTCCTTTATTTAGAACATTAAATAGCAAATAAACACTAAGCTCAGTGGAAAGAAAGACCCCAGGAGGAAAGAGAAGTTTTGTACTTTGGTCACCTGTAACAGCATTTTTTTTTTCCTGCTTTTGAAACAAGATGCCCTGCACTTTCCTTTTCTCCTGCAACCTGCAATTGCTGTAGCTGACCCGGAGAACAGTCTATAGTTCCAATCTTTCAGGTCTTCCAGTCTCACATATTAAAGGTTGGTCCCCACCCACTGATGCTAGAGGTGGAACCTTTAAGAGGCAGGGCCTAGTGGAAGGAAATGAGGTCACTAGGGGCGGGTCCTTGTCAGCCATCAGGACCCGCCCCTTCCTGTCCTGCTCTCTTCTTCCTGCCTGAGGGCACGCGGCTTGTCTCCGCCTTATGCTGCCGCCATGTTGCGCTGCCTTGCCCGACGCCCAAAGTGGCAGTCGTTCTAAAACCTCTAAAACCGTAAGTCAAAACACACTTTTCCTCCTTTATGTTGACAGTTTTAGGTATTTTTGTCTCAGCGGTGAGAAGTTAAGGTAGGCAGGGCTCTGTGTAGCTAACACCGCCACACGTCAGCAGAGCACAGAGCAGGGGTCAGCAGGGGTAGGCCGGACCGCTCTCCCGTCTCAGTGGGCACATGTTTTTCCGTGCATAGGACTCCTGAGATCTCCTGAGCTGGATTTCTGTTTCAATTTTGCAGTCCAGGGTCCAGAGTGCGGTCAAAGTTTACTCGTGATTACTTCTCACCTAAAGCCCTACAGAGAAGGGCATTCTGGGAAATGTTTCCTTTGGGGCGTGATATGGGGTCGGGTGGGAGGATGCTGGGGATTGAAGGGGGGGGGAGCTTTACCATTTGGCTAACCCTTTACCATTTGGCTAATCCAAGCCTTTTTGTGTGTGTGCTTTTTTCTTCCTCCCTTCCTTCCTTCCTTCTTCCCTCCTTCCCTCCCTTGCCCAGGCTGGTCTTAAAGTTGCCATACTCTTGCCTCAAGCTCCATGCCACTTGGATTACCGGTGGTGAACTGCACTCAGTTCGGAAATGCAGTTTTAATCTTAGTCTTGCTTTTCTAGCTATCCTATGCTGGCACAGCAGAAATTCTATTGTTACTATTTTGCTAAGCCATTCGAGAACCACTTGCTGAAACTTGGACCTGCTCTTCTTAAAATGAACATGTCTTCTCCAAGCAAGGATGTTCCCTTACATAACTACGATAGTTTGGCAAATGCAGGGAATCTCAAACTGCTACATCTAATTTTTTTAAATTGCCTTAGTAAAGTCCATTGTAGTGATTTGTTTGATCCAATATCACAGATTGCACCAAGATATTGTGTCCCTCAGCAGATACATTTTTTAAGTTTTATTTGTTCTTTTTAGATATACATGACAGTAGAGTGTATTTTGACATATTACACATGTAAAGCAAAAAAGGTGTGTGAGATCAGGAACCATGGAACAAGAATAAGGCACCGCAAGAAGATTTTTTGCGGGGAGCTCCCTGATGAGGTTCACTGATCTGCAAAAGGGTGAGGGCTGGAGAAGTCGCATGCAGGAAAGGCAAGCACAGTACTTATAAGGGTAGCTGGAGGCGGGAGGGCCTAGGCCATCTAAATTGCTGCTACTAACAGCGAGTTGGCCGGGCCAAGTTTAGGGGCATCGTGTCTGTCGCTGAATGGTCCGGGAGTCAGCAGGGTGATTGCTTCAGGCGGTGGGAACCCTTGGTTGGTAGGGTCCATTACTGTGTCAGCTTCTTTTTTTATTTTTTTAATTTTTAAAAATTATTTTGTGGTGCTGGGGATTGAACCCAGGGCCTTGTGCATGTGAGGCAAGCACTCTGCCAATTTAGCTATATCCCTAGCCCCCTATGTCAGCTTCTGATTGGCCATTTCAGGTCTCCTCAGCCAGGTGGAAAGTCCCTGTGGAAGGGGAAGGGAAGGCTACCAACCCAACATCCCAACCTCTTTGATGTTATAGGGCCCTGTTGTCATCTGCTTCTTCCTGCTGGTAGGGGGCATCATTTGGGGAAGGTCAGGAGTTGGGGGCCCATTGGGAAGGCGGCTGTAGGGGTGGAGGAACATCTGATTTACCATCACCCTTGAGACTTTGCTGCTGGGGTTTTGGATAAATCTGAGGAGACAAGGAGCATTCATTAGCAAGACACAAATTATAAGGATGGGGCCAATAATTGGACCTAACCAAGCAGCAAGAGCAGAGTTTCACCATCCCGGGAGGAGTGAGGTGGACTGCTGATGCCTTCATTTCAGTTCTTCACTCAGCCAATGTAGCACATCGATGTTTTCTTCTACTAGGCCGGTTTCGTTGATGTAATAGCAACATTTTTCCCTGAGGAACAGATAGGTACCACCTTTATCAACAGTGAGTAGATCAAGGGCCCACCTGTTTTGGAGAGTGACTCCTGCAAGCGATAGTATTTGTCTTTGGAGAGATGCCAGGGAGTAGACAGAGACTTCATCAGCTAGCTGTAATTTTTCTTCAAACTCTTTAGTTATAGTTAAGCTATGACCCAAAGCCCCGGCCCTGATGCCTGAGGCGACCAGGGTTGAGGCGACCAGGGTCGAGGCGAGGGAAATACCCACAACCACTGGAAGAAAGACAGCCTATTTAGATCTAGTGGGTGGAGTCTCAGCGAGAGAAACTCAGCCTGTCCATAGAGTGTTAGTTGAGGAACTAGGGTAACAGGGGTGCAGAAAAGAGTGGCAGTAGAGGAATTGATGACTTTTGACATGTCCCATTACACCAAAAAGGAAAATCCTGGGGGTGCATGGACTTGGGAGGACCATGTATCTGGGGTAGGCTTGGGAGGTATAACAGATTGATAGATTTTGTTGATGCTGCAGGGGATTGTCAAAGAGGGGAATCCCCATCAGAGCTAGAGAGGCATCACCCCCTTGGGAGGTGTTAAGGGGAAAGGTCAGAGGGACTGCCGAAAACGGGTGGGGGGCAATCCAGAGTAGTACATGGAAAACAATCAGAAATATTATTGACCCTGGAGTAGTGTAGGAATTGTAATACCTGGTGTACAAGGGCCGGCCATGAAAATGGGTCGCCCATCTTTATCTCGTGTGCCCCTAGTTGGTGAGTGAGGGCAGTTTTTTTCTGGAGGATTTCTTGGTGGAGCTGAGGAATCACTCGGGTATAGGTGTGGAAAATCTTAGAGTTCTGGAGAGGAAACTGTTCCAGGACCAGATGTACAGCTTTCCCTCCACTCCTGCTGCCCAGCAGTTGTCCCAGGGAT